TCAATGGCAGTCAACTCCTCCTTCAGAACCTCTTTAGCCCTTTTGGCGGTCAATAGAGGGGACGAGTCGGTCATCTGATTGCCCGTCGACTCCATGTCCTGTTTCATGCCGTCCACCACTTGAGACACTTCCGCCAATTGAGACGACTTGTCGACCACACCGGCGCTCACGAGAGAGTAATCGCCCCGAAGTTTAAGCACTTTTGCGCGAATCGACACAAACTCGTCGATCATGTCCTCCAACTGTTGCCGCAGATATCGCTCTCTCGAACCGATCTTATCGTCTGTTTGTCTCAACTCATGCAGAAGTGTCTCAATTGATCCGTACGTCTGTTGGGAGAGAATCTTCATTTGGTTGTAATGAGCGGACACTGAGTTGTAGTGATGTCTCCACTCGTTGTCTGAGTTCTTGTGGTTATCCACTCTGACCTTCAGTTGTGGTAAAACTCTCTCCACTTCTATTCGCCATTCATTCAAATCCATCGTTGACTTCATCACTGACTTGTCGGCCATTGATGTCGGATCTCCTCTCAAGTCTTCCTCGAAGTCCTCTTCGATTATCTGCTGTTTATCTGTCATAAGGTTATAGTCGTAATCCTCGTCAGCGTCCATCAGTTCCGTGGCGTTGATCTCATCGCTGACTCCCAACTCGTCCGATACGTTATCATCGTTGCCATCATCGGTACCCTTCACCACAATCTCATTCCTCTGGTTCTCTGTAATCTTATCAGAAGTTTCCAACACTTTGTTCATAAGATCGTTCAACAGATCAATGATTTCGTGTCCAAAACCGAGTCTTAATTTATTCGCGTTATTGTAATACACAGTGATATCAATGAACTCTTTGGCGGAGTTGACGATCGTATTGATGGTGACGTTGGGGTCATCGAAGTCGTCCACATTTATGGTGATATTGGGGTTGAGTTTGTGTAATAGATATGCAGACAATGCGCTGAATGTATAGAACTGTTGCCCGGAATTGGTTTGTCTGCAGAAGTAATAGCGACTAATTGGCGGACATTTATACTGTCGGACAAACTCTTTGTGATAATCAATGGCCAGAAGTTTGTCGCACAAGTCGTGCATCGACTGGAACTGCTGCTGAAATTGATGTCCAGGTGATTGTTGGTCAGTGTGAGCCTGGTCATCGTGGGATCCTTTGCGATGATTTGGTGGCGATTTTTCACCCATCATTTGGTGGTGTATTGAGTGGGAAGTTATGTACAAAACTGTGAATTTAGTCGATTTGTTGTGATTTTGGGAATATTCTGGTTGTTATGGGAATCGATTCGTGACTTACTTACGCTTATGTAACCCTATGTACTCAACAAATATTAATGAATATTCTATATATTTATTAGTTTAAATTGTAAATATTAATTGTGGGATTAATTATTAAAACAAGTGATTAGAAAATTTATTTATTTAGAAAATCAATGTTATAAATAATACTTTTTTGCATAATTTTCAAGAATTTCTGAGTTTATGAATGCCTTTCAAAATTAATTTAGTTTCCGATGAATGTATAAACAAATTACACTAAAATTTAGTTTTAATAACTGTCGGTAATTGTGGTGTAGGGGCTGACCCGATGGCTAACCCAATCAATTTAAAATCAATTAAACACAATTTATTCATAATATTAGTGTTTTATTAATTCAAATAATTATTCAACAGTTAGTAATCAGTTTTAATACATAATTATATAATTTATAATACAATTAAAATACATATGATTTATCATTAATTAGAAAAATTATTACATTATTTACATAACAATTAATCGTCGAATTAATTAATCGCTTAAATAATTAGAGACAAAATAATCTGAAAACTGAGAAAAACTACTAATTTTTAAAAACAAAATTCATTAAACAAATCAAATGAATGATAAAAAATACAAAAATTTATAACAAAAACTCATAAAACAATTAATTAATTAAAAACAATGCGTTGAATGGTATTAATGGTGATAAAGAAATCATAATTAAAAAACAGACAATTCATTAGCCATTCATAAACACCTCCTAAACCTCCCGTACCACACACACTGGGGATAGTAGGCTAACACACCTCCCAATCAATTACCACATAATCGATACATTAATACACATCCAAAGGGTCGACAACAGGCGGTCAAACACCTGCCAGACCCTCCATTACGCCATATATATAAATAGACCGATATTGTCGTCATCCCTACGCATATACCGGTGCTCTATAAGCCACTCGATCTGCTCTTTGATCATCTTCTTGGACGGCAGAAACATATTCTTCAGGATCTCCACGAGTTCTGTCTGGAGCTGAGCGTTGGTCATAGTCTTCCGCATCTTCATTATGGTTACGATCGCCTCTTGGGTTCGAAGTATTCTTAAGCGGACTATCGATTCGTTGTCCTCTTCGCGACACTTCTCGGTAGCCAACTGTAGGCGTCCGATGAGATTCACTTTACCACGTCGTTGGGACTTCCCGTTCTTGCTGTGGGGCACAGACACACAATCACATTAATATAGTTATCAATAGGGAGGGAAAGGGAGGAAAGGGAGTAAGAGAGGGCATGAATGGACGCATACATAACAGAAAACTCCTGATTAATGGCAAACAGAGTGCTGTCATCGAAGTCTTTCACAGATTTCACGTCACTTTCGCAGACGAGTACTTGTCGTTTGAGTTTCGGAAAAGCAATCAAAGACTACACACAAAAAAAAACAATCATTAAAATGCATACAAAACGACAAATGCATCAAAAACACAAACCCATAAAGTCTTGCGGAGTTCAGGGTCGGGCAGTTCTGTGGCAAGCCTTAGATTCTCGTAACTAATCTTATCAAATGGTCTGTCATTCCACACGAATAGCACTGCCATTTGAAATGTGGTCACATCTAAATCGAATTTCCCGATGTTATTGCTAAACGTTAACTGCAATTATCACCGAAACCGACAAAGTGGTCAACAATTATCA